CTTTCTCTCCCTCTCTCTCACGGTCTCACAAAACGTCACAAATACATCCCAGCAACACTTGTTCGTTTCAAGCCAGTTACTAAGTGCTTTAATACTCAGTTCTGTATTGTAATGAGAAAGTACCGTGACAGCAAGCAGCCCACTCAAGAACGGTTCGAAATACCAACACATTATTAATACATGTCTCACCATCCACTAAAAGAATTCCATTATCGATTGTTTAGGTGGACTTTTTTCCAGCATGAAGCTGTTCAGTTGCAATTTACTACTAATAATGAGCTCGATCCGACGTTGTGGTCTACATTTTTAAGTGAAGGCACTCCTGTTTTCCAATTTGGCTTTTTTTTAAATATCTGAAGTGGATATTCAGTTAGGAGGTCCCACCTCTTAAATAACTTACTATTGTTGCAAAGTATGTTAAACATATGCGTTTGTGCATAAAAATATTACCCAATAGTGATGACTGGTGTATTCTTTTGTGTAAGAGCACGATGTGCGGTTTTTTCACTTACTTCTTCTGTCTCCCATTTCGGGCTTATGGCACATGTTGAGCAGCATTTGTAAGCCGAACAGCATCATTAATAGTTTCACTTTTTCTTTTTTTCTCTTAATGTGATTTTTGCTTTTCGAGCTCTAGGCTTGAGTTCGATTTCTTCACAAGTCTATTTTAGTGGGTGGTTGGCGGGTGCTCTGGTGTGGTTCGCTTCTTCTTTCCAATCAAACATCTATCGTCCTTATCTCCCCTTCATCTTTTTATGTTTGTTACTCTCTTGTAACACCTCTAATCTTCTGGCGCTCATAAGATCTTATGCAGTTGCGAGCGCCGTAAAACCTCTACTAAAACTTTTAAAAAACAAGTCTATTTTATTGAGTATCTTTGTCTTTCCACTTGGATGCTGAATCCCACAACTGATTTACCCACTCTTTATATGTGATGCAGCGTGGTGGAATCAGGCTCTCGTCAATTTTTGGGCATGTAGAGTTATGGGTATCATCTTAAAGCGTGTTCACTTGTCTTTATTTGGATTTTTCAGAGGAAAAATTAGTGAGAAAATGGCCGCCAAAGATTGGTTATTTCCTTAGCTAAAGAGGCGGTGGTAACTAAAAGTTTCCATTTTGTGTGTCTTTAATCAACGTTTTTCAGAAAAATCCACACAGAAGTAAGTTCTTTAATGGGCATGAAAGGTGTTGGGCCAAAAAACAAAAACTTGGTAAAAATTCACAAACTGCGAAAAAATGCAGGTTTCTTCAATTTGATTATTTTGACGAGAGCCTGATTCCACCACGCTGCCTCACATATTTTTACATTCTATTTTATAGTATACTAGGAACTAGGAACCACAGAGTGCTCTTTGTAGAACTTGTTGATTTTTCATTGAACATAATTGTTGAACCCAAAGTTTTTAGTTTGAGTAAAGCCAATCCCATCGGCTTGATAACGTGTTGTAAAAGGAAAAAGCAAGATAGGGGCAGAGTCAATAAAGGCTAAAAAATAGAACATTCCAGTTACGTCCTCCAACCACGTGCCGGCGGCAAAGAGTTTATGATTATCTCCGTCATATTGTTTCCCATTGTATTATGTCATTTACATTTCTATGCTGTCTCCCTACATGAGGTTTAACCCTATCCGTACGCATTGGGGTCATTTTGTACCCCCAGTGTTGTATTCTTCACATTTTAGAATATTTCTGGTACGAAGATCTCTTTGAAACTCTCAGTATTTCTCAATAAATTATTTTGACAGACTGCTATGCAAAGCGTACGGATCGGAGTAACGAGTAAATTTCCTCTTTGGAAAGTGGTGGCACAGAGTTCCCCACGCCGTTTGGGTACGATAGTGAAACACGACGTACGGATAGGTTTAAAATGCTCTTTTTGAAATCTTTTCCAAAGGTCAAATCCATGGCGACCTTAATGAACAAAACATCCTGGTGAGCGAGGTAGATAGCGTGGCCAATGATATTCAAGTCTGTGGACTCCTGGACTTCCAGGACTGCGCGTTCTCACACCCCGTCTACGACCTGGCTATCAACGCGGGGTACATGATGATGGTGGAGTCCACTCAAGTGCCTAGGCCACAGATCCCTGGCTACCTGCTGGCAGGCTACTCCTCCGTGCTCTGTCTGAATCAAGCAGAAGAAAAAGTGTTCCATACGTTGGCGGCCTCACGCATGGTGCAAAGTTTGGTGTACGGAGCTTACACTTACTGGCTTGACCCGTCCAACGAGTACCTCCTGGAAACGGCCAAATGTGGCTGGGATGCGCTTGTTACGTTTTGGAAGACCCCGAGAGAGACAGTTGAGAGTGACTGGAAACGAATAATTGGGTCTTATAAGCCTTGATCACAAGCTAAGCTATAGATCAAGCTTACAATCAATAAAATATTCTCAGGCTTTATGCGTTATGCAAGAAATATGTTAATAAAAATTATGTTTTAAAAAAGAAAGTGATGATGTAAAGATTTTCTTCTGTCTCGTAATGTTTCAACTGTTTGTTTACATTCGTAGGCCCGTGTGCTTCTTGCTCAGTGCGGATGTGCTGACACGCAGACGGCGTGACCTGTTGCTCGCCAAGCGAGGCCGGTCCCAGAGTGGCTCTGTAGGTCTGACCTGTAGCTCACCAAGCGCATGCCGTCTGCGTGTCAGCACAGCCGCACTATGCGTTGGCTTCTGTGTCTGAGTGAGCGCCTTCTGCGTGTCAGCACAGCCGCACTAGGCTAGAAGTAGAAGCACACAGGCCTACGAATGTAAACAAACAGTCGAAACTAGGTCAACTTCTCGATTCTAAATTTCAATGTAGCCGTCTTAAAGAGCATTTTGTTGGGATTTTGTGGTCAAGTGTTGATGCTGGCATCAATGCCTAATAGTAAACACCTAAAAATACTATACTTCTTGCTGATTTTAATTATCGGTGAAGAACTTCAGTCGAAAATAAACACGAAGCGAGGCTGCGTGCGACACATGTCCGACATGTTTTACAACACTGTTGAATAGTACGTCTGACGCGTCGCGCTGCTCAGCAGACAACAGACAGACCATACAGCAACGCTGCTCAGGCACACGATAATGTATACGTTCATTAGCACGGTGCGAGCTAGGCGAGCTACAGGTCAGACCAACAGAGCCACTCTGGGACCGGCCTTAGCTTATCAGAGCTGCACTCTTTCAAACAATAAAATATCGAAGCCGCGTACTATCAAACCTGCGTACTCTTTTTATATCGATATCAATACAGTTTATTCGTCAATAACATCCGATGGCTACCTGTGTCATAACAAAAATATTCTATTTTCCAGGTAAGTCAATGTACAACTGACAGCCATTTTCTTGCAAATTTCACATATCTGAAACCGGTCGACCCCCCACCTCCTTCAATCGCAAATATCTCGACTTCTAATCAAGGTAGATGGAAGTTGTTGTTGTTGTTTTTAAATAGAAAACAAAACAAATGCACAAGCTTTAAGATGGTACCAATAACCCGACATGCTCCAAAATTAACGAGCGCCTGATTAAACCGCGTCGTGACAGAAGCAGTCTGCATGAAACTACGTCAGGTCACGGATGAAGCTTCAGGCAGGAAAACCTCACAGTTCGTCCTACTGGAACGGTGAATCTGGAAAACATTAAAGAATGCACAGAAACACTGCAGGCCAATTAACTCTCTTTTAAAATAAATAATGTACACCCCAGTCCAAACGTTTCGTTGCGCAGTAGCCTGTTTTATCTTTCTTTTCCATCTGCATGTTTATTGAGAGAAAAAGAAAGAGAGGGAAAGGGAGAGGGAGAGAGAGCGAGAGAGAGAGAGCGAGGGAGAGAGAGAGAGAGAGAGAGAGAGAGAGAGAGAGAGAGAGAGAGAGAGAGCAACAAGTCTATTAGCAAGGAAGCAAAAGAGCTTTAGCTTGTGGTACCTGTCTACGTATGCTGAATGCAGAACCCGAGATGTTTTGCTTTCGTCAGTCTCAAGCAGAAATCAGAGAGGTAAAGAAGAAAAAAGGGGATTGGCTCCCGCGTGGGGGGTGCACAGAGAGAGAGAGAGAGAGAGAGAGAGAGAGAGAGAGAGAGAGAGAGAGAGAGAGAGAGAGAGAGAGAGAGTGGAACGACCTGGAGCGGTCACGGTGACACGCAATAAATTTTTAGTGTTGCTCTTGAGAACGCAATCACGTGATTCCAGTTTGCAAGCGTGAAACGAAAGAAACTTAACATTATTCTCAAACTTCATGTGTTGAAGTTTTTATGTTTGTTTACTTGTATGTAGCGTTTTTGAAAGACCACGTGTTATCATAATGGTAATAATTAATAGCGTTTATAAACCGTTTTCCCCCGCAAACTCTAAGCGCAAAACAGTCTATGTCACTGCAGTCTAGATCATCTAGCCTGCACTGATCTCTGTTAACACCCCAGCAAACCCTAAAACACTCAGAACCATTCTCGGCTTCACTGGAAGCATACAGTGCAAGCAGCCGATTAAACGCTCAAACACCAACGAACTGACAAGATCTGTCGCTGTCTATAGACGGGTATCCATTGCTAAAGTATAAAATGCATTTCACCAAGGACATAATATTTTGCTCCTGACGTGATTCAAACCCACGATCTTTCAGTTACGAGCCCATCAATCTAACCATGAGACTACCATTGCCACATGTAATATAAAACAATAGAACCTGGTCCAACAGCCCCCTATCCGAGACATCCAAATGCACAAACGACCACTTCTCATTCCCCCTTACTTTGTTTATATAAAATCAACATTGTCCAAGACAACCATAATATATTATACTGAACACCATTAAAACGTAACGTTTTCAAAAAGTTATAACAAAAGCCAAATATGCTTTGATCGTCACGATTTTTTGGAGACACAAGTTAGCAGTTGGTCCACACACCCATTCACGATTTTGGTTATTTCCATGAGTACTTTTCATCACAATACAGTAAAGTGTATTTTGGTAAAATGTGTTCATTAGTTGCTGTAAAGAAAGAATACAAAATTATTTGCCTTGAAGGTGATCGTAACTTTCGCTTCCACCTTGTTCTTGGCGGAAAATCTGCCTGAGAAGCAGCAATACGGCTAAAATGCAGTGTTTTTATTGTTTTCGACTTATAAAAAGATTTTAGAACACTTGAAATGTCCGGAATAGGCAAAGAATAGGACAGTCTCGAGTGACCAGCCCTGTTCAAGAGAGGAAGATTTTGCTGTCTCATCTGCGAAATCGTTTCGTATCTCAAAAGTAACGGCTCAAGGCATGCATGGAGTGAGTGAAAATGTTTCTTTCATCAGTGTGATGCGATGAGCATTAAGTACAGGACTTAGATCAAGAACGCCTTATTTAGAAATGCAGTCAACGAAGCCGCGTCAATAGCGCTGTCTTCACGGTGCAAAACAGCACAAGAAAAAATCAGAATCTCTCAGTCACCCACGACACTCCTGCCCTTACACTGCCCATTTAACAAACAACACCAATTTCTGGAAGATCACAACGTGAATGTCACGGACTGGCCAGTGTACGTACCGGACACGTCTCCAACAGCGCACATGAACTGAACCGCAAAGTGTCTGTCGTTTTGCGAATCTGCAGCTATTGGGACAGAATTTATCAACAAAACATTGAAAATGTTATAAAATCCATGTGAAAAAGTGTTTTGGTCTGTATAACTCGTAATTGAACAAGAAACTATTGAAATCACGGATTCATACAAACATCTTGGCCTTACAATAGACAACAAATTTACATGGCAAAACCACGTAAACAATATCGTTAAAAAGGTAAATCAGAGGCTGTACTTTCTGAGGAAACTAAAGTCTTTCAATCTGAATCCATCCATCCTTCAGATTTTCTACACCACCACAATAGAAACTTTGATAAATTTTGGAATCACTTGATATGGTAGCAATATGGGCAGGCAGCACATTATTAAACTAAATAAGTTGATAAAAAAAAGGCATCAAGAACAATTGGTGGAGACCTAAGTAACTTTGAATATCTGCACAAGACAAACGTTCTAAAAAAGGCGGAAATAATGCTTAGTGACCATAGCCACCTACTGACATTGGAATTTCGACTATCGACCCGCAGTAAACGATACATTTCCAAAAAAGCAAGAACAGACAGATATAGAAATTCATTCGTACCAACTGCAGTGAGGTTACTGAACACACAGTGCTACAAATGAATCAGAGAGAGAGAGAGAGAGAGAGAGAGAGAGAGAGAGAGAGAGAGAGAGAGAGAGAGAGAGAGAGAGAGAATGAATGTTTTACGGAGCGGGTTGTCTCAGCCCGTGAGACATGTATTTACTTGGCCTTATGTCCTGTCTTGTTGTGCGTTTGCGTGAGTGCACCTTTAAGTCTAACTTTTGTAACGTCTACTGCCATTGTTAACGACCAAGACAAATTTCTCATTGTGATCAAAATGGTTCACATTTGTTGGAAATTGAGGAAGGGAGAGGGAGATGGAGACAGAGAGGCACGATATCTGTTGTATAGCCAACTACCTCTCTTTAAATAAGCCGAGGGCAATGGTGTAGACCAAGAACGCGTTTATTGCATAGGTCACTGAAGTGTTCAGCGGTACCTTTGCCTGCACATTTCAGTTGAGAGTGAGGAGTCTGCAGTCGCATACCTACGTCTGTATCCGAGTCGCAGATTACACATTACACAACGGCAACGGCGTTCTGCAAAGTTAGGTCCCAGTGAAGTTGTAGTAGAGAGTGGATCATGGAGGAACAAAGGATGCTTTTCGGTCACAGAGAAACGGTTGATCTCACCAGAGGCTAAACCATGAACATGTTTTGTCCAATGAGCATGACCAACTTACTCAACCGGAGCAGACGGCAAAGGAGGACCCCCTCACGGTGCCTACATTGAAACAAGCCTCAGGAAAACGCTGACAAATTATATCAAAGCCACATTCACTGACAAGTAGAACATAATTTATCAACCATTTTGTCAGTAATGACTTGCCAGCCTAAGAAGAAAAAGATACAAAGGCAAAAGGGAAGCTGACTGGATAAATATAAGATAACAAAAGATAAGGGCAAAGGAAGAAACAAGAAACAAAAGCACTAAGCAGGGAAAGTTAAGTGACAAGAAAAAGTAAACTGAAAAGCGAAATGAAAATTACTAAAAAGAGATTAACAGAAGAACGAAAATTTCAGAGGGAGTTTAAAAAAAGAAAGTGTCTAGTCTAAGAAAGGGTCTAAGGAGAGTTGTGGCTGAACAAATGGACTCAAATACAATGATACAAGTGTGGACGAGTCAAAGATGGTACTTTGGGACTCATTTTGTCAGAAACCTCACATTTGTCATTCAGCCACATCCCTGATCTTATGGTAGGTAGGTAACGTCTAACACTTATCCATCTTAACACTTATCCTTCTTGGATAAGGGCTTAAAAATTCGGAGGTCCCGTATGCAATGCGTTAAAGATCCCTTGGCGGTCCTAAAATC